ATTTAAAAAAAACGATCGTAGGAAGGTTGTTCAACTATATAAATCAATGTGCAAAGTTGAACATTTTATAGTCCTTTTTTTCATCAGATAAAATTTCTTCTACGTATTCTTACGTATTTATCCTTTCCTAAACTGGAACTCTGGTCCTACAGCTATATGCATCATTAAAATATATGTGTGTTTACTCCTTTCCCCTTGCTAAAAGGTTTGTAATTCCTACAGTCTTAAGATATTCACACATCAGAGATATGGCACAGCCAGACAGGTGACATGTTTATTCCTCGGTTCATTCATACACCTTTCTATGTCTCTGCCTACAGTTGGCTCTATGGACTGTAAATTCCACTCCATTACCTCTATCCAATTAGCAGGGACCTGGCCCAGGATGCAGAAAACTTGAACTTGAGTGAATTTTCTGACTAACAAAGGGTGCGTATCTCAGGAATGGCTGGTCACAATACAAGTTCTCTGGCAGTTAAAACTGTAAACATTTCTTTCTTTGAAAGATATATTAGGATCTCTGCCTGGAGTTGAACTTTGTTGTTAGGTGAACCCCACCAACACCTCTCTCCAGCTAATCCTCCAATTATATTTAAAAAATACTACAGTTGTGTTCAAAAATAATAGCAGTGTGTTGAAAAAAAGTGAATAAAGCTCAAAATCCTTCTAATAGCTTTTATGTCCATACACACAAATGCGTTGGGAAACACTACACATTCTATTCCAAATCAAAACATGAAGAAAAATATATCAAATTTGTGTTGTTCCTCTAAAAAAAATTGAAGAAAAGTGAATATTAGACTGTTCAAAAAAAATAGCAGTGTTTGTATTCTTCTTTACAAACTCAAACATTCACTATATAAACTGAAAAATGTTTGAAGATTTTGCTTTCCTTTGAATCACTTAATATTTAGTTGTATAAGCACTGTTTCTGAGAACTGCTGTACATCTGTGTTGCATGGAGTCAACCAACTTCTGGCACCTGTGAACAGGTATTCCAGCCCAGGATGATTGGACTACATTCTACAGATCTTCTCTATTTCTTGGTTTTGCCTCAGAAACTGCATTTTTGATGTCACCCCACAAGTTTTCTATTGGATTAAGATCCGGGGATTGGGCTGGCCACTCCATAACGTCAATCTTGTTGGTCTGGAACCAAGATGTTGCACGTTTTTAACTGGTGTGTTTGGGGTCATTGTCTTGTGGAACACCCGTTTCAAGGGCGTTTCCTCTTCAGCATAAGGTAGCATGACCTCTTCAAGTATTCCTATGTATTCAAACTGATCCATGATCCCTGGTATGCGATAAATAGGCCCAACACCGTAGTATGAGAAACATCTCCATATCATGATGCTTGCGCAACCATGCTTCACTGTCTTCACAGTGTACTATGGCTTGAATTCAGTGTTTGGGGGTCGTCTGACAAACTGTCTCCGGCCACTAGACCCAAAAAGAACAATCTTACTTTCATCAGTCCACAACATGTTGCACCATTTCTCTTTAGGCCAGTCAGTGTGCTCTTTGGCAAATTGTAACCTCTTCAGCACATTCTTTTTTTCAACAGTGGGACTTTGCGGGGGCTTCTTGCAGATAGCTTGGCTTCACATAGGCGTCTTCTAATTGTAACAGTACTCACAGGGAACTTTACACCTTCTTTGATCTTCCTGGAGATGATTGTTGGCTGAGTCCTTGCCATTTTGGCTATTCTTCTATCCATTCGAATGGTAGTTTTTCGCTTTCTTCCACATCTTTCAGGTTTTGGTTGCCATTTTAAAGCATTTGCAATCATTTTAGCTGAGCAGCCTATCATTTTTTCCACTTCTTTATATGTTTTCTGCTCTCCAATCAACTTTTTAATCAAGGTACGGTGTTCTTCTGAACAATGTCTGGAACGACCCATTTTCCTCAGAATTTCAGAGAGAAATGCACTGTAACCAGCATGTACAAACATTTGCTGCCTTCCTTCCTTAAATAAGGGCATTAATTGCCACCTGTTTTTCAAAGAATGAATGACCTCACTAATAGAACTCCACACTGCTATTATTTTGAACATGCCCTTTCAATTATTGATTCAATTACACAGAATCAGCAGCATGCATGTCATGACTGTTGGGTCTGTTGGATTTTCTATTACTCTACTACACCTGCTAGTAAAGTATTTGCCATGTAGAAATATCATTTCTACCAAAAACAGTGATTGATCAGGTTAGTAATGTCTGACTGCTATTATTTTGAACACAACTGTATATCATCTTGTGATCATGTGACACCAGGTCTTGAGTCTTCTGTCTTCCTTGTTGCAAAGAAGGAGGGTCCTTATTTGGGTTCCCACATTACTGTTTGGGTTCCAGGATCAAGAAGACCTCGTTATGACAAGGCACAGCAGCATGGCCATTTAGCTCTGGGCCTGGACTGCAGTGTCAGATCATTGGCCTTCAGTAGCAAATGGTGCCATTGAGAGTCATGTGACAAAGAACTAAGTAAGAAAGAGCTTCAGAGGGCTTTTTATTTTAATTTGGTGAATAAACTGGCCCACAAAATGCAAATTGTAGATGGACAATGAAGGGTGTTGATATAGAAAGGGTTTCCCATAAACAGGTTTGCTTGGGTCAGTTGAATGTGTGGGTTTATGTCTATGGAGGATGTGGAAGGGCATCAAAAAAGACATTTCTGGCACTGGTTTACTAGCCTTAAAAACTGCCGAGTGGGTGGCAGCTTGGCATTTTTGTCCTGGGCACTGGATGACCTTGTCCCGGAACTGCTGCCCAGAGTATATGAGCATTTTTGTTAGGAATGGACTGGCCAGCAATGGTGGGACTCACCTGCCTTTTGATCTGCAGTACCAGGGCTGGCCAGCGGGTGCTCCCAGCAATCAGAGACTCAACCTTTCAGCCAGCTAACACCTGGAACTGATGATGCTGGGGGGTAATTTTAAGGGATGGCGCATACCAGACTTGCACAGACTCTGCCTTGGTGTTGTGTTTGTCCTGGGCCCTGTATCTGTCCTGCATCCTGTTTCTGTTCCTTTGCTGACTTCTCCTGCTCTGATCCTGGCTTGTGACCCTGACCATTCCTCTGTCTGACCCTCTGTACTATGCTGCTTGCTACCTGCTGAACCTGGCCTGTGACCCCGACTATTCTCCGCTTGCTCCCCCTGTACCTACCTGCCCAATTGATATTGACCCGGCTGCTTGACGACGCTTGCTTGATATATACTGTTATCTGTGGGTGGTTTGGTTTGGTTTGTTTGCACTTTATTATGTTTTAGTATTGCACTGCGTTTATGTTTGTACTTGTTAGTGTTAATAAATTATATTGTTTATAACATATCTGAGGTCTGCGTTTCCCTGCTTCAGTCACACACCTCTGGTCATACCTGGGAGCCCTGACATTAACACCAAGGCCAATCCTGACCAGAAGTGGCTGCACAGGGAAGCCATCTTGGCTTGTTGATGGGAAGGTGGATCTAGATGAGGTTGAGTATTTATCTCTGCTAGTGCTTGATGACAGAGAGTATGCTTATCAGACTCTGAAGGAGTATACCCGGGATGAACTGCTAGATGTATACGGCTCGCTCATGTTCTAGTAGATCAGGGGGCACAGTTTTCTCTATGGTGCAGCCATTTGATTCAGGTTTGTGTTTGAGTTGGTTTCATCTGTTTCCCCGAATGCAGGGATGAATTTTTGCCACCATTTAGTGCAGACCAGGTAGAGTCCCTGGTGTGGTTATTAGAGGATGATGTGGGTTACTTTCTGGAGCGTTATTCCACATGTTCACCACAGACACTGAGAGATTGTATAAACGCAGTGCAGTCATTGACCAGACAGACTTTGTGTAAAACTCAGCTTTGTTCAACCCCTACTGCAGACATGGACAGATTTGTTGCACCCAGCCCTCAGTCAGCTTACAAAGACCCAGTCCTGCTTCTAACTCTACTCCTGTATTCCCACCAGCTCCTCCAGTTACAGCCCCCAGTTATACTTGGCTATCTAACCGCATGTCAGTACCCCTGTTCCCACTCGCTGCACCTATCCTGCCTTTAACCCTGTAAAAAAGCCCTCTGTAGCAACTGCTCCCTCTCCTGATCCATCCTCCAGTTCTTCTCTGTCTCCAGCTGCTCCATTCGTTTGCAGACCTGCGTTTAATTGCAGTGCTCCAGTAGTTAAAACCATGAAAAAAGCGAAAATTCTTTCCCAACCAATACCATCCTGCAGTATCCAAACCGGTGAGCCTGCCTTCCGTGGTTCAGACTGATGCCTGTACGCAACCTGAAGCCTCTACTCGGCCTGAAGCCTCTACGCGGCCTGAAGCCTCTCCTCAGCCTGAAGCCTCTACTCGGCCTGATGCCTGTACTCGGCCTGAAGCCTCTACGGCGGCCTGAAGCCTCTCCTCAGCCCTGAAGCCTCTACGCGGCCTGATGCCTGTACTCGGCCTGATGCCTGTACTCGGGGCCTGATGCCTGTACTCGGACTGAAGCCTCTACTCCGGCCTGATGCCTTCTACTCGGCCCTGAAAGCCTCTACTCGGCTGATGCCTGCATTCAGCCTGATGCCGCTACTCAGCAGGATGAAACTGATCCAGCCCGACGATCCTATTAGGCCTGTTGACTCGATGCCCGCTGTTGATCCCAGATGATCCGGTACCTAATCCAGTTGCCCGCCGTCGTGCCAAGTGACTCAGAGCCCCGCTGTCATACCTGGTGACCCGGTGACCCTCACTGAGCCTTGCCAGATGACCTGATGCCTGGTGACCCAGTGCCCGCTGTCATACCTGGTGACCCGATGTCCGCTGTCGAGCCAGACGATCCCAATGCCTGGTGACGCGGTGCCCACTGCCTTGCCAGATGACCTGATGCCTGGTGACCCAGTGCCCGCTGTCATACCTGGTGACCCGATGCCGCTGTCGAGCCAGACATCCGGTACCTGATGCCCCGGTGCTCACTGTCGTGCCTGTTGACTCGGAGCCCACTGCCTTTGCCAGATGATGCGGTGCCCGCTGTCGAGCCAAATGAACCTGATGCCTGGTGACCCAGTGCCGCTGTCCAGTCAGACGATCCAATGTCTGACCCAGTGCCCGCGGTCATACCAGATGGACTCGGAGCCCACTGCCTTGCCAGATGACGCGGTGCCCGCTGACAAGCCAAAATGACCTGATGCCTGGTGACCCAGTGCCCGCTGTCATACCTGGTGACCCGATGCCCCCGCTGTCGAGCCAGGACAATCCGGTACCTGATGCCCCGGTGCTCACTGTCGTGCCTGTTGACTCGGAGCCCACTGCCTTGCCAGATGACGCGGTGCCCCGGGGGCATGTCGAGCCAAATGACCTGATGCCTGGTGACCCAGCTGCCCTGTCCAGTCAGACGATCCAATTGTCTGACCCAGGTGCCCGCGGTCATACCAGTTGACTCGGATACCCACTGCCTTAGCCAGATGACGCGGTGCCCGCTGTCGAGCACCCCCCAAATGACCTGATGCCTGGTGACCCCGATGCCCGCTGTCCAGCCAGACGATCCAATGTCTGACCCAGTGCCAGCGGTCATCCCAGTTGACTCGGAGCCCACTGTTGTGCCTGGTGACTCGGTGCCCCGGCCGCCCCGCCTGGGGGCCCGAGACTGTCGTTCCGCCTAAGGGCCCGAGACCCTGTCGCTCCGCCTGGGGGTCCGGCACCTGCCACCACTCCGCTTGAGGGCCCGAGACCTGTCGCTCCATCTGGGGGTCCGGCGCCCGCCGCTCCGCCTGAGGGCCCGAGACCTGCTCGCTCCACCTGGGGGTCCGGAGTCCGCCGGACGCCCCCGCTCGCTCCGCCGCGGGTGAGGGCCCGAGACCTGTCGAAGACTCCACCTGGGGGTCCGGCGCCCGGCCGCTCCGCCTGAGGGCCCCGAGACCTGTCGCTCCTCCTGGGGGTCCGGCGCCCGCCGCTCCGCCTGAGGGCCCGAGACCTGTCGCTCCACCTGGGGGTCCGGCGCCCGCCGCTCCGCCTGAGGGCCCGAGACCTGTCGCTCCAGCTGGGGTCCGGCGCCCGCCGCTCCGCCTGAGGGCCCGAGACCTGTCGCTCCAGCTGGGGGTCCGGCGCCCGCCGCTCCACCCCTGAGGGCCCGAGACCTAGTCGCTCCAGCTGGGGGGTCCGGCGCCCGCCGCTCCGCCTGAGGGCCCAGAGGACCTATCGCTCCATCTGGGGGTCCGGCGCCCGCCGCTCGCCTGAGGGCCGAGACCTGTCGCTCCGGTTGTCTGGGGGTCCTGGCGCCCCGCCGCCCGCATGGGGCCCGAGACCTGTCGCTCCGCCTGTGGGGTTCCGGCGCCCGCCGCTCCGCCTGGGGGCCCGAGACCTGTCGCCTCCGCCTGGGGGTCCCGGCGCCCGCCGCTCTCGCCTGGGGGCCCGAGTACCTGTTGACTCCGCCTGGGGGTCCGGCGCCCGCGCTCCGCCTGGGGGGCCCGATGCCTGTCGGCCCCGGCCTGGGGGCCCGATGCCTGTCGCCCCGCCTCAGGGGGCCCATAGGTGCCTGTCGCCCCGCCTGGGGGCCCCGGTGCCTGTCGCCCCGCCTGGGGGCCCGGTGCTGCTCGCCCCCGCCTGGGGGCCCCGGTGCCTGCTGCCCTGCCCGGGGGCCCGGGTGCCTGTCGCCCCGCCCGGGGGCCCGGTGCCTGCTGCCCCCGCCCGGGGGCCCGGTGCCCGTCTGCCTGCTGTGACTCCGCCCGGGGGCCCGGTGACATGCTGCTAGCTCCGCCGGGGGCCCGGTGCCTGCCGCTAGCCGCCCGGGGGCGGGCCCGGTGCCTGCCGCTCCGCCTGGTGGCCCCGCGCTGCCTGCTGCTTCGCCTGGTAATCCGATGTGCCTCTGCCCGGAGTCCTGCCCGATGTACCTCTGCCGGAATCCTGCCCGATGTGGCCTTCTGCCCGGAAGGGTCCTGCCCCGATGTGCCTCTGGCCTGCCTGGAGGTCTGTCCGATTGTGCCCATCTGCCCGATGTGCCTCTGGCCCGGTGTGTTGTGCCTCTTGGCCGGGTGTGCCTCTGCTCGATGTGACTCTGCTCAGATGTGGCCTATGCCCGGAGTCCAGCCCCGGTGTTGACGCATGCCGGAGTCCCGCTCGGTCGTGCTGCCAAGTTTCTTTGATATCCCGCCAGTTTGCCAGTCCCAGGGGCGGTGTGGTACACGTTTGCCACAGCTAGGGGGGGTGGAACTGTTTGGAGCGTCCTGAGGGCCGCTCCTTGAGGTGGGGGTACGGATAGGGAGGGAAGTGATAGTGGAATGTAATAGTATCTGGGTACTGGCAGCAATGGTGGGACTCACCTGCCTTTTTGAATCTGGCAGTGTTACAAGGGCTGGCCAGCGGTCGTGGGTCCCAGGCAATCAGAGACTCAAACCTTTCAGCCAGCTAACACCTGGAACTGATGATTGCTGGGGGGTATTTAGGGATTGGGCCTAGACCTTGCAGACTCTTGCCTGGGATGTTGTGTGTTAGTCCTGGTCCCCGCGGCCATCTCTGTCCTGCATCCTGTTTCTGTTCCTTTGCTGACTTTCTCCTGCTCTGTCTCCTGGCTTGTGACCCAGTGTACCATTCACATACTGTACTGATCCTCAATTACATATTGACTGCTTCGCTACCAGGCTGACAACTCGGCCTTGTGACACCGGGACATACCATTACTCCCACGCCTCTCTCGCTCACCACCACTGTCCCACAACCATACCATTTGCCCCAATGAGTATTGACCACGGCCTGCCTGACTGGTCGCTTGCTTGTTTATTACTGTCTATCTGTGGGTAGGATTGGTTTAGTATGGCACTGTATTATGATTTAGTATTGCACTGAGTTTCCCTGTCTCCCCCCTCGTACTCGTTAGTGTTCAACAAAATTTTAATATGTTTATAAACATATCTGTGGTATGCGTTTCCCTGCTTTCAGTCACACTACCTCTGGTCATACCTGGGAGCTCCTGAGTCAATTTTATAAAAGAGGACGTTTGTAGTGAGTACATTTTAGTGAAGCAAGTCAGAAGTTGGATGAGTATTGCAGCATCAAGACATCAACCCAGCGTTATAACAGTATGTGCAAGATTCTGTTCACAGAGTTGGTAAGGTATGGTCCTTGAGCTGAACATAATAGGCGTCTGTTGTGCTAGAACAAAAAGGATGGAATATGTCTGTGGATGCGAAAAGGGGGGTCTGTTGTGGCAAGGACATTATGGTGTTGGTATGGGTTTTGGGTACTGGGGGGGTGGTCGGTTGACTGGTGGAGGGGGAGCATGGTTGTGCTTGGGGATGGGTGGTTTTTAGGGGGGGGGGGGGTAGAGGGGTGGGTGGATTTTACCGCTGGTTGATTGGAACTTTGTCTGCTGGTTAGGTTGTGGGTCTTTGAATATTGTTTTCGGGTTTTTGTTTGTTATTGTGTGGGTTTAGGTGGTTGTGTGTTTGTTTTGTGTGGGTTTTTTGTGGTGTGTGTGTTTTCTTGTTTTGTTTGTGTTTTGTTTTTTTGGAGTTTTTTCTTTGGTTGTGGATGTATTGTTTTCTGTGTTGTTTTTTGTTTCGTTTTAAGTGGTTTTTTTCGTATATTTTTAGTGCTTTTTTGTTTTGGTCGGGTGTGGTTGGTTTTTGTTGGTGTTTTGCGATTGTGGTGATGGTTTGTGGGTCTGGTATATGTTGCTGTATGTTTTGGGGTGTGTGTTTGTGGGGTGGTATTTTTTGTGGTGTGTGTACTTTGTGTGGATGGTTTGTGTGATTTTGTAGTGTTTGGTTTGGTTTTGTATGTGTTGTTTGTTGTTATATGGGGGAGGGTTGGTTTGTAGTGCGCTTTTTTTGGATGTTTTAATGATTTGTTGATGGTATCCAATATTTATTATAGATTAATAAAGATAGAATAAAAATAATAAACGAAATAATGAAAAAAACAAGAAAAATGCGATAATAAAAGATGTTAAATATTAATATCAAAAAATAGAATATTAACTTCTTGGATTATTTATTCATATTTCCAAAGAGTTCTGGAGATTTCAGAGCGTATTAGGGAGGGAAGAAATCCTCCAACCCAGGTGGTCCAGGTCTTGCAGTAGGAGACTGGCATGGCTGTTGACGTTTCAGGTGCACACAGCCTTATAATGAGGGTGTTGAGCATAGGTCCCACAGATCTCTGTATGAGGGCAGGTGTGTGTTTCATTAGTGAGACAGGAAGTCATATACTTATGAGACAGAACTCCATGCTGGAGGAAGTTTCCTTGTCTCACATACGGGCTGAGGAGGAGACCCATTAAGCGAGTCGTCTGAGCAAACTGAGAGAGCCAAGAAGATGACCTAGGCAAGTCCAGAGGACTGAGGCCAGTCTGGAATATCTGAAGAGTGAGATAGCGCCTGGTGTATCAGGAGAAACCCTCTTCAAGGAGGCCAGGGAGTGGGCCCATCTTAGCAGGGTGTTGCAACTTAAATAGCTGTGCCAAAAGAGTGCTGTGAGCCAGGAGAGCTGACGAGAGGGATGTGATGCTGCTGGAAGAGAAAGCAAGGTGGGCTCGGTATTATTTTGTCATTCGTGTTTGATTTTTTGAGGCTTGTCTAATAAAAGTGGGCCAGGAAAGCTCTAAACTAGAGTTCAGAACTAGTGTGGACTCACGTAAAACGCTTATATCTCTGAACTAATTTACCCGCAAAATATCACAAAACTTAATGTGTAATAAGCTTGGTCATACAACATGAAAATTAACCAAAATTTACAAGGACCAATAACAATCAACATCTGAGTGGTATATACATATGATAATGGCCTAACCAGGCGGCCCTGACATCTAATACCATTAGAAATGCCTGCAATGTGACCCTGGAGTTGGCTGTTTCATCAAATAATCCCTAAAATTATATTAATGAACTTAAAATGTTTTGTGTAAATTGAATATATAGTACATTAGCTTTACCAATGACTGCATAGTTTCAGTCAACAGCTACAAAACTCAATTTGTGGAAGCAACTGGTCAATATATGAGTTGCTACTATGGTATAAATGTATGTCAAGAATTAATTATTGCATTAAACCCTTTTGGAGGACCATAAGATTACGGAACGCCCAAAAGATTCAATTTTTTGTTGTGTGTAAAATGTTTTTCGGTACACTTCAGCTTGCTGTAACTAAGCCATTTTGTGAAATAATCGGGCAAAATGCTAGATCCATTTGTTGATACGAACTAATATTTTGACTTCAAACCAAAAAAAAAAGTATTATTTTAAGTTCATAGAATTCAGATGATACAGGCAATTTAAAACATGGGACAAAAGTGTGTGTCACTTGGTCCTGGCCTTAACGAGCTGTAACTATTTTTTCACTAAAAATACGTGGTAATGCAAAATGAATGTTCTATTAAGTAAGATGCAATTATTCATCTATATACTTGAGGCGAGTGTGAAATCACATTTTATGAAACCATTCTATGCAAATATCTAGTACATATCTTAAGAGTTTACAAAAACCATTTCTCTTTTATGATGACTGGTTCACAATCATTAAATAACAATCAACAATTAGTGTGATAATAATGGTTTGTTCCTAAATTCCTTTTCAGTTTAAAGAGGATTAAGCACTGCACTCCTTTACGATGAGAAAAAAAACGGACAAATTTAATGTCAACAATACACAAATATTAGATGATGCTAAAAACAAGGCTGGTATAGCCTATTTGATGTCCATACTAATAACATGATCATTTAATTCGGTTGTTGAGGATTCTCTCTAGGTATAACTTAGTTGTCTTTTTTGCATATGTCTTTTATGTGGGACATAAGTGAAAACTCGACGAAAGTCTTTGATGGGCCACTGTTCACAGTGTTTAATAACACAGGACACAACAATGCGGGACTGTGCGGTGTGGTTTTCAGCACATTCATTTGCATGGACAGAATTTGGCACCCATTCCACACCCACAAAGTAGTGCAATGCTCACTTATAGGTTGCATACCCTCTCGATGATGTGTGCTGCTGTGAGAGTTTTTGTGCCCCCCCCTCCCCTAACGGCTGCTGCCAC